GTGCTCATTGCAGCCAGCGCGGCTGTCTCGTGGCACGTCTGCATGGCTACAGAAGCCTCCACCTCCTTGAGCCAGCACCACAAGACCAGACCCCGCCCTGACCTCGAGGGCCCACGCCACGGCAGACCACCCTGGGAACCCGCCGTGCCGAGGTCTCTGTCCGGCCAGGCTGCTGACTTCGCACGGCGCACACGCCCTCCTGGCAGACGGAACACCCGCCCTTCCGCCTGAGCACCTGGGCCGAGTCTCCACCGTCAGGTGAAACTCCAGCCTTCCTGCCTAACAAACGCCCCTCCGCGACCCAGCGCCCCTCCAGACGCCCCTGCAGACACCGTCAGCGCAGACGCTCCCCGCCAAGAGCATCCCGACTCCACCCAGAGGCTCCCTTCCCGCAGCCCAAGGGCCGCAGCCCGTCTCTGAGGACGAGGCTCCGACACCACCTGTGCCATGTGCTCCTTGCCTGTGCAGGCCGCCCTTCCAGTCTGGGAGCCCACCCTCGCTACAGCCCCAGTACCGCCCCGGCGCTCACCATCAGGCCTCTGCCACCGATTCATGGCTAAGCTCAGAAGGGCTTAGGAGAATCCCATTCTCCACGGTTGCTCCCAGGGCCTGGCATCACGCCCGGCACGGACAGAAACTCAGAAGCGTGTGCTGGTCCACACACGGACCAACCTCGCCACGCTGCTGGCGCCATCTCCACGAGCAACCAGCAAATCTGCCGGCACCCTCAGTGCCCACAGATCCAAGCCCACCCCCTCGGGGGGCAGAGATCTCGCGCAGCCTGCAGCGCACACCTCAGCCCCAGGCCCTCGCCCCACGCTCGCGCCTCCGGGTCGTGGGCCCGCATGCTGTCTGGACGGACACTGCTCGTCCTTCCAGACAGGTCTCAGGGTCGTCTCCTCAGGGAAGCTGCGCCCCAACACTCCACGGACTGCAGTTCCCGTCCTGACGCTCCCAGTTCCACGTTTCTCAACTCACAATGCCTCATGACTGATAAGGGCTTCTAACGTGATAGTGTTTTTTCTGTCTTCCTTTATGAAAGAAATGCTAATTTCTGTAATCGTGTTTTTGCTCAGCATCGGGGAAGCGGTCACGCCCTTCCGCCACCACGGGGACGCGGCTGCCTAGCAGGCAGGGCGGGCGTGGTGGACACCTCCCACCCGCACAGGCTGGACGGGAGGCGAGCGCCCGCCCAGAGCATGGATCGATG